CTTTATTATTTGAAAAGAGAAATGATTTGGAAAATGTTTGGATACTCAAATTTGCTCCAAATCTGTTGAAATAAATTTTGCTAGGTTCCTTATCACCAGATCTACTTGGGAAAATTATTGCATGTCATTTTTGAGATACTTTTCTGTAGAACTTTATTTAATCATTGATATTGCTGATAACTTGAAAAATGTGTAGAAAAACCTATAAGCTTCAGAAAAATATGATTTTCAAGTTTGTTAATCTTCTTATGTAATGTACTTCCTAGGAAAAATATGTGTCATGCATGTGCTGTAGAAAAATTTTGAGGTGTAGTTCAAGTACCTTTAATGGCTGATTTTTGTTATTTTTGCTAGAGAGCAAAATGTGTATAAAATATGCATGTGATAATTTTTGTACAGTGATTAATTACTGTGAAGAACATAGAAAAAATACTAACTCTGTTGTTCGACACTTTTCACAGTACAAAGTATTTTCATCTTCATAGTCATGCCATAGCTTGTTATTTTTGTGTAGGCTAATCCACTCATTCAAATACCATGAAAATCTGATAGTAGACTACTTAGGGTAGTACTGTGCTATGATAATTTTCTAAGATTTTTCTAAGCAATAAAAATACATGTTGCTATTCAAACCTATTATTATTAATTAGGGTTTAATCAAGTGTTGCTTTATGTGTGATTAAGAAATTAGTAAAGCTTTGGTGTATCTTTGAAGCCTTTAATAAGATGTGTTGACTTAGCATATTAGTAGTAGAAGAGAATGCAGTAGATGACATGTGCTTGTAGTATATGTTCTTGGATGATGTTAACTACCTTGCATTCAAGCATACCCATTGTATTCATCTCATCCGATGCATAGATGGCATAAGCACTTACGCACATTGCATCATACAGGATCGCAAACCAAGAACCCAGTCATCATACCCGAGGAGCCCGAGGAGCAGCTCGAAGTGCAGCCACAGGAAGTGCCCGAAGCCGACGAGGAGGACGTTGAGGAACTTCCGGAGTGCCCCAATCACCGCCCGAGCTCCTTCGAGAGAGGCAAGCCCCGGAGCATTTTCTCCCCGGTTTGCAATTATTAATTAAATGCTTTACTTTAATTGATGCATTACGTTCAGGAGTTGTTTGCAACCGTTGCTGCATTATACCTTGTCTACCTTTGTTATACTATATCCTTGTTACCCTAGTATCCGCAGTCGAGTCAATGCTTAGCTGGCTTAGACCGGTAGAAGTCGGGTGATTTCCTGTCACCTGCGAGCTATAGGTGGTTACCTGGATCTGCTTGGATGACTATGAAGTCATGGTATAGCTAAGTGTTAAATGAAGTTGAGACCGGGCGGAGACTTACAGAGTTTTGGACTGTAGTGCTTTCCGTCTATGTCGATTAAGGACCGACCGTTGTTGGGCCTCGAGTCATGTTGAACGCATGCCTTACATTTAGCTGGACGGATAAAGTACCTTCCGACCGCGAAGCTGGGAGATTATTCGGGCCGAGTAGATTGCCCGCAGCGCACTGTGCCGGAGCAGGTGTGGTAGGACACGGGGGCGAGATGATAAGACCAAAGTGCAGTCGGTCGGCCCCCGGGTACATGTGGTTCCTGGCAAACTCGAGACTCCTGGATAGTTGACTCGGTGATCAATACCTTACTTTAGCGGGTGAGTGAGGTTTGTGTAAGGAATAAATCACCAGCTGGTTAGGAATCGATTCGAATCACCATCGCTCCTGGATAGTGAGCACTTGACTTGAGTTACTTCATCGTAGTAATGTTAATGGAACACTTGGACAGTTATAATGCATATGACAATATGGAAGTGGTTAATGATCATTGGTTATCATTATTGGCTTAGTCTCATTTTTGCTCAAATGAGGTGCAAATCTACCCTATAAGGTTATAAATAAGCCCTTGACAATAATGCTTGTGAAAGGTTTTGAAATGCTAAAAATGCCTCTTTTTGCAAATAAGTCTACCCTACTATAAAGCCCTTCATAATCCTTGGTTTTATTTATTTTTTGGTTATTGTAAGATGGTGAGTACCTTCTCGTACTCGTGGATTTTATCCACTTGTTGCAGATGGGCAGATGTATTACGGCTACTGTATCAACTGCCTTTATCATGCGATGGGTGATGCTTGGTCATTCCGTACGTCTCGTCTAATATTTTTGTTGGAGATGATCATCAGCTGGCACTGTATTTGAACTCCGTGTGAGTGTGTGTGATTTTAAACAAATGGCTTCCGCTACTTTTATTTGAACTCGTTTTGTAATAACTATGTTTAAACTCTGATGTATCTGTGATGCGAACTTTTATGTAATATGTGATGGTGACCGCTAAACTTATTACGATCGTGGCTGGGATGTGAGTTGGTTTGAAATTCTTCGTGATTTCACGGACTACCGGGTTATACGGGCTTAAGTTTGCTAAATTGTCTGCTCTGGCGGATGATTTTCTTACTTAATTTCGTATAATTGGTCGGTTCTGTTACAACAACAATGGTGCGCGTCAAGCACCGAGTGGTAAGAGGTATGTAAACCTCACTAAACACTAGGCCTAAACCTAGTGTAAGCGCATAAGCGGTGGTCTAATCAACCTAAACACTTCGCAAAGCACCTACGTCAATCACTTAATAAAACACTAAATACTATGCAAGTGTAGATCACTAAAATGGTGTATCAATACCTTTGGTATGTTTCCTCAGCTCCACTCCTTTCAAATGGCCGGTTGAGGGTCTATTTATAAGCCCCACCTCTTGTCCCCAAAGAAAATCAAGCAGTGACAATGCCAATGCATGCAAAAGACAAAAAGCTTTTGTTATTATGTGAACTAAAGGCCTAATAATATACACAAGCTGCTTTACAATAATCATCAGTACGGAGGGTAAGCAGTAAGCACTTTGGTGGCTAGGGCATGGCCACAAATGCCTGCACCTCCTTTTTATCTTTGCTTTGCATGCTTTTCCATTCCTTGAATGTGCTCCGATCCTCTCTTTTTTTTCTTCAGAGTGGTACCTCCCTTCTTGTAGCTTTGCCCAGCTAGACCTCCAAAGATGGAAGAAGATATTTCTGTTGGAGCACACAATCTCCAGAACATGGCACGAATTCTGCTTCAGGATCGTGTCTGAATTCTGAATCTAACCACTGAAAGTGACCATTATTGCCAGATGCACGTATATATGCTGCATAGTGTTTGCTGGTGCAAGTGGATATTAACTTGCATGCAGTTACTAGCTCTAGCTAGTACCACTGAAACTGAAAATGACCATTGAGCAGCTTCTCACTACACAATGTGCTGCGCCCTGTCTGCAATTCCTGCGAATATCCTAGAACGAAACTTTGGTGGAGGTGCTGTGCAAGTCTAGTTAGGTCTACTAGCTCTTGTCGTTGGCGATGAAGTGCCCCCAGTCCATCCAGGTCATGCTTGCCACTTGCTGCAAATGCAGTTGTGGCGAAGTGCAGAGGCACAATACAATGGCATGTGTTGCGCAAGCGACAACCGCTCTCTCCATTCCTTTGTTGCCAGTGATACACCACCAATGCACAATACAATGGCATGTGTGTTGCTGCAAATGCAGTTGTAGCGAAGTGCAGAGGCACAATACTGATGCAACATGAGTGAGCTAGGAGTGATGTATTTAAAGGTGATCAGGGATCACAACGGTGGATGAGGCAGAGAGCTTTCGAGCCTGTTCGCTGGTTGGTTTCTTGGCTGATAAGCCCGACTGATGCTGATTTGTTGTGAGAGGAAAACACTGTTAGCTGACTGATAAGTCCTGGCTGAAACCAACGAGCGAACATGCTGTTCATTTATAGATATACGAGGTGATCACCCCACTAATTCTCCTGCTTTCCCTTGGATTGGGTAGCGGCGCCCTTCTTCCGCTACGGAATAGTACTGCATGCTCATCACTGATTCCAAAGGCGTGCAGCTTGTAGGACACACTAAAGTGTGCAAGCAATTGGGGTTCGGCCTGCCTGCTGTGCTAGCTCTTTCTGCTACCTGCTTCCATAACCTTCATTTCAGTCGGTAGTGCTGAGTGTTCCCTACTTTTTCCATTTGTTTTTCTCTTCTCCACTCCCTTTCACCTGCACTCTCATGTTCAGGACAAAATTGAGAAGACATTTGTGCGGTGAAAATGTTCTGGCAACTTGCGTGGTAACTTTTCATGGTGCTCAAGAGCTAGAGAATTATATCAGGATGTACTGTTCCAGGATTCTTCACTTTCACATTATCTTATTCATTCACACGACTGTCTGACACTCGACAAAGATGACAGGTTTATCGAGTGCCCGAGATTTGACACTCGACAAAGAAGACATGTTTACCGAGTGTCAGATACTGGACACTCGGCAAAGAAGCCAACATTTGTACGTTCTGGGCCAGTCTTTGCCGAGTGTCCAGTATTTGACACTCGGCGAAGAATTCAGGTTTGCCGAGTGTCAGGTCCGGAACACTCAGCAAAGGCACCGTGACCATCTCTGCGCCGTCGAGTTACTTTTTTTCGTCGAGTGTCGGTTTCAGCTCTCGGCAAAGTATTTGCCGCGTGCCCAATAGAAAACACTCGGCAAAGAGACGTTTGCCGGCACTGTAGATGCCGTGTGCTGTTTGCCGAGTGTTACACTCGGCAAATCTTTTGCCGAGTGTTTTGTGGGCTTTACCGTGTGTCTGCCTGTGGCACATGGCAAAGCCACTGTTTCTGGTAGTGGTGTCTCATATGTGCCCTTACACACATATTTATATCAGGATGGAATGTTCCTGGATTACCCTTTACACACATATTTATATGTTTTTCAAGTCATCGATCAGCATTTAGAGCCTTTATCGCCTTTTGTTTGTGGGTAAAGGGTAACTACGCATATGCTGTCACATCTCTTTTTATCAGGAGCACTACGAACCAAGTAAAAGACCTATAAATAGTCCATTGCAGGAGCATTGTTACAGCAAAATTCAGGTGAGGTGGTGAAGCCGGTGGCCAAACGGTTACACAGCACACTCGAAGCAGCAATGTTGGGGATGGCACGCATCAACGAGTGGAAGCCGGTGATCGCGATGCTAGTCTTCGACCTCATCTCTGCCGTGACAACAGCCCTGATCAAGAAGGCGCTGCAGGAGGGGCTCGACCGCCTGGTGCTCATCACGCTGCGGCAGCTTGTGGCCACAGTCTTCCTCGCTCCAATCGCTTACTTCAGAGAGCGGTACGTACCGAAATGTGACATTTTTTCAGTGAAGTGAATGACCAAAATTCAGATGCAGAACCAACTTATAGCTACGACCTAGCTAGGATGTTGTAATGTGATGCTAATGCTTGATTTGCGCCACCTCTTTTGCCTTTTCATGCAGGAACACAAGGCCTAAGCTCACACTGGAGATCCTAGTCTACCTCTTCTTCAGTGCAGCATTTGGGTACGTACAGTCACAGATCCTAGTCACTCCTTTTTTTTTATGATGAGGATACATAACATTTCTGTCTGATTCACTATTCCTTTTTGCTGCTCCTGTCCTGTCCTGTCCAGCGCCGCGCTCTCTCAGTACACCTTCTTCTACGGGCTGCAGTACACCACCGCAACGTTCGCCATAACTTTCACCAACGTGGCTCCTGTGCTCACTTTCCTCATTGCAGTCTTGCTAAGGTGCTCCTCCAGCATCCTTCAGTCTCCTGCACCTGCTCTTGTTCTGATGAAACTGAAAGTCTGAAACTGCTGAAACTCTGAAACTGAAAGTCTGAAACCGGCCATTTCCTTTCACTCAGGGTGGAGTCACTGAATATGAAGAACAAGGCAGGAGCAGCAAAGATCGTCGGAACGCTCACGTCGTTCGCCGGCGTCATGCTCCTGACCCTCTACAAGGGCGTTTCCTTGACGCACCTAGCTGAAGAACCTAGCCCGGATCACCACGGAGCAGCACCAGGGTCGTCGTCGTCTGACAGGAAGAGCTGGACGCTGGGAACTCTGGCATTGCTCGCCAACTGCCTGTGCTTCTCCTTCTGGCTGCTGCTGCAGTCCAGGCTCACCAAGAAGTACCCGGTGCTCTACTCCAGCACGGCCTACATGTTCCTCATCAGTTCACTGCAGGGCGGGGCCCTCACGGCGGCCATCCAGAGGCGAGCTTCGGTGTGGGTTCTGACGAGGCCGCTGGAGATCGTTACGGTCTTATATACAGTAAGCTGATGACGACCTTATTTTCCTTATTGTCACTTTGTGTTTTATATCATCTTTACGACTCTCTCTACCATGATAAATATAAAGACGCGCAAACCTTTTGTGTGTTCGAGAAAAAATATCGTCTTTACGACTTTACGTACACTTCTGTTTCTGTTTGTTTTGGTATATATTAAAATCTAAAAAGCCCTCCATCCCTGCTTTTGGTGAAGTGAAGCCATCATTGGCAAGGTAGAAATAACAGTACTTTTGATAAGCTGCACATAGCCTTTTCAGATAAAAGTAGGAGTAAGACGGACGTTGCATTTTTGGCATAGAATAGGAAGAATCCTGAAGCCAATCCTAAAACCCCCTGTAGCTTTTACTTACGAAAGTTAGTAATAAAAAACTTAGCAGTTAGCACACAACTCCTTATTACTTTTTTCCTCTTTATATTTAATCTAATATTAAAGTATATATGGAGAGTTTATTCTTTTGTCCTCTCCAAATTATGACAAGTGGGCCTAGGCTTATGAATCTGCCCCACGTGTAGCCATATGACGTATAAGATAGGGGCGGATCCAGCGGTGGGGGGGGTGGGGGGACTCTAGCCCCCCTAGTGCCGCTGAAGCCGTGGAGTCCCCTCTTAGCCCCTCCGGAATTCTTGCAATGAATGCACCTTGAGGAGAGTCTGAAGTTGTCTAGATATTTTGGGCTAGCAGCTGGGCTTACAGAAGGGTAGGGATCGTTGAAGAGGAAATGTTGTAGATCTCCTCCCATTGGAGGGGCGGCAGTGGCGGCGAGGAGCCCTCGGACTTATGATCGCAACAATTGCACGACGTCAAGGATTTGGACCACCCTAGTGTGGAGGGAGGCCCCGACATTGGCAGCGGCGGCCGAGACATAGAGGAGGCCACGGAGGTCCGACTAGAGCGATTGGACGCCGCACAGAGCTGCACATGCAAGGAATCCACTCACACCGCACTCGCCTTCTCCTGGTCTAGAGAGCATGCTTGAGCGTCTCTACAAATTAAACCGGTTGGTGCCTATCGTCGAGGTGTTAGGGGCCCGACGCATCCTCCTCAGGTGCTTCACCCGGCGGGAGCAGCTAAGACTACCTGTCGGCGAAGCAGTGTCAGGGTTAGGGGATGCCGGTGTTAGGAGGAGGTGCTGTAGGGGGAGAATCTGGTCGAGGTTCTCTTTGAAACGTTAATTTTCCCCAATTACATTGCCCTTGTTGTCTTTGTAGTAGCCCACGATTGACTCGTACCTGGTGTTACAGGCGTCGACCATCTTGGTGATTCCCTTGAGCTTGTGTAGAGCCCTAGGATCGGAAGAGAGCACACAAGCTTAAGTTAATTCCAAAACTGAAGCCGCACACTAAAGACCGATATGTCGAGGCAACAAGGGGATAAAAGAAAGGGCAGGAAGGGGCTTAACCAAGAAGTTTCCTCCCACATAGCCCTCCCTCCGATGGAAGTAGCCCCCACTGGCTTGGCCTTCTCGCAGGTCTGGAGGAGGATCTCGAGAAGAGCAGTTGTAGCAATCGCCGTCCACTGGAAGTGTAGTTTCTTCTTGGACCGCTTCTTGGCGGCGGCGGTGACGGGAGCGGCAGCAGCGGAGACAACGATGGGAGTAGCGGCGCTGAGAGCCGCGGCAGCGAGGGGGGACAACGGTGGAGGGAGCTAGGGCGGCGGCGATGACGACATGAGCGGCGGTGCCGAGATCCACAACAGTGAGTGGAGGGATAGTGGAGGGAGCTAGGGCGGCTCCACGTTGGAGTTGTTCACTCTTCACTGACCATGGGTAGATCCAGCGGTGGGCAGGAGGGGCTCTAGCCCCCCTACTGCTGCCGAACCCGTGGAGCCCCGTAGCCCCTCCTAGGAATTCTTGCCATGAATAATGCAATTCACGATTTTGTGCTGGCACCTGGGCTAAGTTTCCTATGGGCTTCGATGAAGTGAAAAAACTCCACTCGGTAACCAACCTTTTGGCCTTCTCCATGCCCCTAATTCTCTCAAATCCTTACCTGGGCAGTTGTGAGCTATGGTAGGCGATAGATGTGGCGTGCGAGCCGCCGTAGTGCTACTAGAAAAGTGCAGACGCGCAAGGGAGACAGAGTGCGGAGGCACTGGAGGCTGGAGCGCAAGGGGCAGGCGCAAGCACGACCGAGCACCTGAGTGACTAAATGGGTCCAATGCGATGAGCAAGAACAGATGCATATAGCAAGGAGGTAGGGTGCGTCGCCGGCCTATGGCACTACACTGGATGGAAGCATGGTGGCCACCGGCTGCGGCTGGGATGCACGCCTCCACGACATAGGCACATGGGTGTCCTGGAGTCCTAGACGACTAGACTGGATAGCAGGTTGAGTGGTTGACAAGTAAGCATCATGTTCTAAGTTCTAATAATCTATGTTCTCCTAAGTGATAATTGGATATTTGGATGCTTTGGCAATTGTGTGGGTTAGTTATTAGTGTTAGATAGAGCATGACGATGTGTTGTGAATCCGCCACTTTATCTTCATGGAACAACACATGTTCGCTGCTGTAGTTCATGTCATTCAGGTGTTCAACGAAATGCGTCACTAGCCAGGTGAGTAGTTGCATCATATCTTGTGATTTGAGAAATTCCTACACTATAATAATATATGCATCTTTTTTCTATTTAGCGAGTTACTAATTTGAGCACTTAGTGTCTTGATTGTTGTAGCCTATAGTTGAAAACCATGTGAAAGCTCGCTTTTGTATCTCTGGAAGCACAACTTCATGCTCATGCCTTCTCACCATGGTATGAACTTGATTGCTTGAGCCCCTTAAATATTTATCCTGGATCCACCACTGGAATAGGCTTCCCCGTCTCCACATCCATACATTAACTATAACAATATTAAAGAGCGAAAATTTATTCCTCCAAATTTTTGGTCCATTGCACTCTCTTCCTGTTCGTGTTGATCCACTCTCTAGAGCATAAGAGTTTACTAAAAACAGTAAGACGTGATGAATTGGACATTAGAGTCCCAATTGGTTTATTATCCTATTGGTGACCTAATTAAATTCATAACCCATACCCATACGAGTTAGAATACCGCACGCAGGATCACAGTATGCAGTCTGATTTTAAAAAGAAAGTATTAGAACATATGATGCAAGATGTAGATTCTGCTGTAAATTGCAGCGCACGATCGAGTATGTTTGCTAGTTTTATGATGATTGGTAAAACTGGAATGTACCCATCTCAATAAGGAAAGTCACAATATATAAACCTAGACCTAGGAGGACAGAAGCGGCACATAGCTTACTATTCTGATGGATTTGATGACGCCCATCGGCACTCTCAAGGTGTAGAAAGAAAATATTGCCTACAAGTTCTTTGTAGGTCTTGGTGGTCACTTTGATCACCGGAATTAGTGTAAGTAATACGAACAGAGCCACTCACTTTTTTCTCCAGTCTCCTATCATTAACATTAAAGTAGATGTATTTTTTTCTTACATCATTTCTAGAAGCCTCTCTTCCCACACGCAGAACCGAACGTGTATATCTCAAGAGTTGTTTGGTGCGTTGTTTTTGCCCCCGTAGTGCTTCCCACTGTTATCGGATCACTTAACTTTATGTTTGGTTGGAACGTGTATATCTCAAATTAAACATCACTTCATAGTTGACAAGAGGGCCGGGGCTGAACCAAACAACCACCTCATACTCTCATAGTCAACGAGACGTTGGCACCTGATCCCCTATCGAGTCCCACCTATGCACGTGTCCAGCCCTGCAACCTCTACATAGGGGGTGGACGACGGATGCATGCAAACAGACGTCAATAACACAAGATCTCCATGATTGTTCTGATGAACGCCTCACCACTCGTTGGCTTGCTTTGTGTCTTATCTGGATCTCAATCTCTCAATTCGATGCAGTCCATATGCATGCAACAAAGACTGCCCCACTATTGCCAGCGCGATTTGATCCCATCCCAATCCCATCCTTCTTTTTCGTCTAGACCAGACAAACGCGATCCGATGTAGCTAGCTAGATCATCAAAGCACACATGCATGAGCTTGTAGGTGGCCCTTCTAATCTGCCTCTCGCGTGAATATAGTGCAAATGTTCAGTATTATACTTGATAATGAGGACGAAGTAAATCCAGACGGGAGAGTACACAACTACCATAAACGACAACAGTTCCAAATTATTGGGAATGCAATATAGTACAAATGTTCTTTTTTTTCTCAGAAAAAAGAATTACAAGCTGATGAATTCTCATTCATCTTTCTGTTCTTTGATGACAACTTAAAGCGAATCAGAATTTGTATTTCAAGCACATATATATGTTTATATGTTTCAGGGAGTCATGGGGTCCGGAGTGGGCTACGTGCTGATGACGTGGTGCGTGGAGAAGAGAGGGCCGGTGTTCACGTCAGCCTTCATCCCTGTCATCCAGATCATGGTTGCCATGATGGATTTCTTCTTTCTCCATGAGAATCTCTATCTTGGAAGGTAAGCTATCTGTTGTATTACCATACTCAACATCCTCATCATCAGCTGAAGAATTTTGAAGCTGTCGTTGGCTAGCAAAATGCATGGCCCCCAGCAGGCAGAAAAAAGAAAAAAAAAAAGAGAGAGCAGGAGTATCCATACTAGCTAGCTCTGCAGACACCTACCTACATGTATACGTCACGTTGAAGTGATGGCATGCAGCTAGCTGGGTTTTTGGAATTGCAATGGATGGACCAAAATGCATCACTTTTTTTATTTTTGTTGTTGTTATCCATGCATGCAGTGTTCTGGGATCCATACTCTTGATTCTGGGCCTCTATATTCTGCTGTGGGGAAAGAAGAGGGATGCCTCAGAAGCATCATCATCATCAGCTGCTGCTGCTGCCAAGGAAGAAGAGGAGGAGGAGGAGGACAAAGAGAAGCAAGTCAGATCATGAGGACCAGCAGACCACTCTTATCTTTTTCTTCCAAAACAAACCAGGATGAGGACCAAAAGATAGAGTTCTTTGGACTGTGATCCATACTTGACATATATACTTAATATAATAGTATATAATAATTTCCTGCTTGATTTCCTACTACTAGGTGGAACTAGTACTACTGTACTAAGAAGGATGGTCTAATAATTCTGCTAGTATATGTAGTATTTGTTTTAATTTCCTTTGTGGCCAAATTAGTATATATAATAGAGAAATTTTACGGTGCTTGAAAATAATAAGAGCCTTTCATTCATCTTGATCTAATGGTTAAAAATGTAAAGGAATCTAATGAGAGGGACTTAAGTTGTGGGTCTGGAACTGATTTCTATATTTATCCAAAGGGTAGAATGATATTTTGATCGGTAGAACCCCTACCCGCAGATTATCCATCCCTGTTGGATAATGTTGAATGGGTACAGGTTCTCGCACCGCCGGTCCAAGGTGCCATGGAGCGGCAGGGCCATCCTCACCAGCGAAGACGTCTAACGGCACTTTAGTGATCGGCAAGATGAAGCCCAACTGGTCCATCTTCGAGATGGATGACGACGTCGGCTGCGACAACTTCAGTCTGCCGCACCGCCTGTGTGCTGCTCCTCGAGACGCACCATGCACCACGCCGCCGGCCGCCTGGGTAGCTGCCCTCTATCGCCATCACGCGTCAGGGACACAATGCCGCGCCGCCTCGCTGCCGGCCAGTGCGATGCCGATGTCGTCGATCCCTTGCAGCCGGCAAAGCCGCCGGCGGGCTCCAACGAGACCCTGCAGGCGAGCGATGGTGAGCCTGGACACGACAGACGCCGGCACCAGTGCGCCTCGTGCAGGCTAGCGGCGGCGGCGACGATGAACCGGCGAACTGTCTCCGGCGCGAATGCATGTGTGCATTCCGTATATTAGTAAAATGACTAAACTATCCTTAATTATATTTAATTAATTACTTTTACATCGGACGCCTGGAAAAAAAATTCCATAAGAGGAACTACCGGTTCCTCCCAAGCACAGTAAAACATCTCTATATAATAATTAAGTATCTGTGTTGTTTCCTCTCTAAAAAGAAGCATTAGTATTTTATTTCCCCATAAAAAAGATAGTACTACTTGTATAGTTGTATTCTACAGTAGCATGTGTGTTTTTGCTTACCCTAATGACCTAATTTTCTTAGTGTGCCTGACCGTACCATGCATGGAAAAAAAAGTTACCATGCATGCATGCAATCTCTCCAAAGTTCAGTCATAGCGAGGCCGATGGGGCCGGTGGCAGATGTCACCCATATATAATTCGACACGTAGAATGTCTTTTTCTGTCACAATGAACACGGAATTGCATTGGGTGCGTGGGAGGAAGAAAAAAGAGAGAAATGTTCTTCATGCACACATGGCGCTTGTCTTGTACCCCCAAATTCGCCATTCTCCTATGTGGGCGGCGCGGCGAGCGAGAATCGATGCTCCGGATTTGATGTGGACCTAAAGCAACGTGTGCCAATGAAAGCAGAGACAGTGGGCATTGGATTTTACTCCTTTCTCGTGGAAAAAGATGCATACATGTTTTTTTTTTTCCTAGCTCCATCTACATATATGGTGCATGTTCTTAAACTGGCCCTAAATAGAGGTAGTAGTCATGACAATGCCTGAGTGCTCAAGCAGGAAGCATCCAATGCCCCTACAGTAGAAGCGATTGACGCATGCAGGAGCAGGACATCTGATCTAATTGCATCACGGGTCAGGTCACAATCAACGTGCTTGCCAAAACTGATAAAAAAGACGAGGAGCTTTTAAATGTTCGATCCACTGCACTGCACTACCTAAAGAGCTGGGCATTCTTCTCACTTGCTGGCAGCACAATTTGCTCATGGATCAAACATGCACGTACATCTTCCAGATTGCAAATATAATATTCTCAGGTCAGCAAAGCAAATAGTGTAAGAACCAGCTAGCCAGCCAATGGTTGCTAAGTGCTTTGTCCTATACCCAATGCAAAACCCCTAGTCACAGCTCAAGCTAGAGCATATGGTCACGTGTTAGGAAAACGAAACGAGGTCGATAGGGAACATCCTCCTTTCAGATGCCACTGCATGCATCATCAGCACCTCAGCATGCAGGTAGCAGCACTATAAAGCCACGACATAACCAGAGCAGACTGCTCAGCTCATCACACAAAGCCATCGTCAGATCGAAGCAAGCTCAGGATCGATCGAGAACAGCTAGCGAGCTAGGGCTCTGCAGCTTGTTAGTTGCTGCTGCTTGAGCCTTGGATCGAGATGTGGAGTGCAGGATGCATGGAACAGTGGGCGCCGACGGCGGCAATGGTGGCCACCAACGTCGTGATCGCCGTCATGAACGCGCTGATCAAGCAGGCACTGAGCCAGGGCATGAACAGGCTGGTCCTCATCACTTTCCGTCAGATGCTGGCCACCCTGTTCCTTGGACCCATTGCCTACTTCAAGGAAAGGTAGGCGATGCTGTGGGTGGTGTGGTGTGGTGTCAAAAAAGGCATGCATGCATGGGTATATATTTCGCTATAGATTGTTGACGGCCAATGTTTTTTTCCCCCTTCATTCATCAGGAACATGAGACCAAAGTTCACAACCGAAATCTTTGTCTACACGTTCCTCAGTGGAATTCTTGGGTAAACACCAACTCCACTCTCTCACACACACACTATTGTATTAATGACTCAGTTGGTTGTTCTTCATTGTTCCTGGATTGATGAAACGTTTGTTTCACGTGTTGCCTGCTGCAGGCCGGTGCTGCTTCAGTACACATTGTTTGTGGGATTGGATTACACGACAGCAACATTTGCTGCAACTTTCGGAAATTTGCTTCCAGTGGTTACTTTCCTCATATCACTTGCTTTCAGGTAAAAACCCAGCTTCTTCTTTCAGCAGCAGTTTGAAAGGCTCTTCCCTCTCTCTCTCTCTCTCTTTTGGTCAAAATCTGGACCGTAAATTTGCAGTATCTATTTGTATTATAAAACTGGATGGCACAAAAAATTTGACTACAAAGTAGCAGAGTGCTGTCACTGCTACTAAGAAAAGAAGAAATTGCTATAGTGCTATCACTGCTATGGAACCTTGTACTTTTCAAATCAACCAGTACATCCTAAGCCCCCTTTGACAGGGCTCATCGAGCGGCTTCTTGAGCAGCTCATGGTGAAGCCCTGCCAAACGCTATAACTCAAAATGGCTCACGAGAAAAAGCCAGGAGAAGCCCCGCCTTTTCCGCTCTCTAGGTTCTTCCGCCGATGAGAAGCCAAAAATAGTGGCTCATACCGGCTCATTCCTCCACCCAAAATACTAAAGTATGCATGTGCCCTTGCTATTTCACAGAACTTACAACATTTGCCATCAGGCAAGCCTGCGAGCTCGGCAGCAGCGTGGAGGCGGCGGCGGGGGTGGTGGCCGGCGGACGCCATGGCGGCCGGCGGCGCGTGCGGAGCCCACGGCCGGGCCGAAGCTCAGCAGCCGAAGCGGAGCACGGCGGTGTGCCGAGGCCGCGGACATGTTGGATCTCGGTGGCGTGCCGAGGCCACGGCCATTGCGGAGCTTGACTACGCGAGCGGAGGCGGCATCCATGGCGGAGCTCGGCGACGCGGGTGGAGCACCGGCGGCGGCGCAGACCCCTGATGCGCCAGCGGAGAGCACGGAGGTGGGGGCACGGGTGGTGGCCTGGACGCCGCCCAAGAGAGAAAGAAGGAAAGAAAGGCCGATCGGATAAGGAGAGAGGAGGGGAAAAGAAGGGAAGGCCGATCGGATAAGGAGAGAGAAGGGGAAAAGGAAAGAAAATGAAAAGGAAAATGAAGAAAAAAAAAGAAAAAGAAAAGAGAAAAAAAGAAATATAAGGGTATTTTGGACATTTGACATCTTCTTTCCAATCTGAAAAGCCAGAAAAAGCCGTTTTGTCAAACGTTTTCGTACAAAATAAGCCAGAGCTAGAGCTGTTTTTTCATGAGCCAAAGCCATGCCAAACGGGCCCTAAATAAAGTGCCTAAAAAGGAAACTTCAACTCTGTTCCCATGAGAAAGTTAGCTGGTTTTAAAATGGCCCCAAATTAAGCAGCACATGCTACAACTAAGGGTCCTCAGCAGAGCACATTAGCTCAAATCGTCACTTGATCATCTAGGATCTTGTACATGTCTTATTAACTCCTATATATGGATTACTTTAAGCGCTTTCCGTAGAAATATATATAGTCCCACTTAATTATATACATAAGCTCACAAGTCACAATAATAAACTTCATCTTTCAGATTTGAAGCACTGGAGGTGAGGAGCAGGTCAGGGAGCGCCAAGATCTCAGGGACACTCATCTCCCTCGGCGGCGCAATGATGCTCACCTTCTACAAGGGTTCAGCACTGACCCACACCACCACATCGCTGTCGCCGTCATCCATGGCTCCATCCTCCTCCGGCAGCAGTGGCGAGCACGGCACGGTCCGGTGGGTGCTGGGCTCCGTCTCCATGCTCGCCAACGTCGTCGGCTTCGCGCTGTGGCTGCTCCTGCAGCGGAAGTTCACCCGGAAGTACCCGGCCGTGTACTCGGCGACGGCGTTCATGTCGCTCTTCAGCTTCGTCCAGGCTGGAGCGCTCGCCCTGTCGGTCCAGAGGAGCAGCCTTGCCGTGTGGGCTCTCAGGGGAACCGTAGAGATCGCCACGGTGGTCTACTGTGTAAGATTTCTTCTCTTGCAGACTGCAGACACATTTGTCACTGTTGCGGCAGCATTGTTGATGCAGATTGCATGTTTGTGGTGCAGGGTATAGTGGCATCCGGCATTGGGTACCTTCTGCTCACATACTGCGTGGAGAAGAGAGGCCCTGTGTTCACTGCTGCCTTCAGCCCGCTCGCTCAGATCTTCGTTGCCGGCATCGACCTCTTCATCCTCCATGAACCTCTCTACCTTGGAAGGTGAGGTCACAATCACAACACCATGCTGCTCATCTCATCGACGATCTGCTCCCTAACTGCAGCCTCATTATTCTCACTGAAGACTGAACATTGTGCCGTTCCTCACTGAACATTCTCCCTAGCTAACTGTTGCTTTGTGTTCTTCATCTTGCAGCGTGCTAGGATCAGTGCTGGTTATTCTCGGACTCTACCTTGTGCTGTGGGGCAAGAAAGAGGAAGCTGCTGCTGAGGCGGCGGCGAAGCCAGTTCAAGTGGCCGAGGTAGAACAGCAAGAGAAGGTGTGATTCTTTTTATTACTCATCAGTCATCAGTGTGACAGAGCAGTGACCATAGCTAGAAGAATCCTGTGTGAGTGTGACAGAGTGCATATGATCTCCAAGCTCTTACTGCTGCTTGTATTCTACTAGGTTATCCATATATCTCTTCATGCTGTAAATAAAATTCTCTGAAGTGTTGAGAAAGAGGTTGCCAAAGTTCAGGCTTCACTATTTCAGAGCTAACGTACAGCACTATCCACTGGTGGTACGGCTGGGCCACCATCCACGTGTACGTCGCTGACAAGTGGGTCCAGAGAGAACGAGAGACCAATATGCTTTCTCATGTCGCTCAAGAATAGCAAAGCACTACTACTAGCTGTTGAATGGTTCTGCTAGCTCGCTCAGTCAGTGAAGCTCTCTGCATCAGACACTTGTCTCGCCTGCTCCGACAAGAACTCCGCACCTCCCAGCTCTTAGCACACATCTGGGCGATAAAGAGCGCGCCCGCACTTGCATAGTTGCATTCATTCTACACCAGCAAGATCATAACAGTGTGCGTGGATCCAGCACGATCGTATCGAAGAACGAAGCCATCGTCACAACGCAATGCAAGAACGCCGCCGCAGCGCCACCATGGGGGGTGTCACCGCCACGACGCCGCTCTGCTACCTGGCCGCCGCGGCCCTGCTGCTTCTGCTGGGCACGGCCGTGGCGCCGTGCGGGGCGCAGGTGGTGGTGACCATCGAGGAGGCATGCCGGATGGCGACGACCGGCGGCGCGTCGGGCGTGAGCTACGACCACTGCGTGGCGTCGCTGGCGTCGGACGCACGGAGCCGCGACGCCGCGGACCTGCACCACCTGGCCGCGCTGGCGACGCGGATCGCCGTGGAGCACGCGGCGGCGACGGAGGCCAAGATCGAGGACCTGGGTGAGGTGGAGGAGTCTCCCCACGCGCGTGCGCGCCTGCACCACTGCCTCGACCTCTACAACGCCGCCGCCGACGTCCTGCGCGACGCGCTCGACAACCTCCACGCCCGCGTCTACGGCAAGGCGTCCCAGCAGCTGGCCGCAGCGCTCGGCGCCGCCGAGAGCTGCGAGGACGTCTGGAAGGGCGAGGAGCATGTCCCCGTCGCCAGCCACGACAGGGAGTATGGCCGCATGGCGTTGGTCGCACTCGGCCTCACCAGCGGCATCGCGTGATCATATCACCTACGTACTACTACTGTCGTCTCATCGGCTCATCCCATCGATCGGTCGATTACACACAGCAGCCCGAACGCCATTGACGCCGCCGCCATGGCTGTCAAGTCGTCATCATAAGCTAAAGTCGCATCTTTCTGCTTGGAAGTTGGAAATCGTGTGTCACATTATATATGTGGTCGATGTATGTAATCGATCTTGCTTTCGTCCATACACCTTGATATGATTTTGGCATGCATGTAGAGTGATATTATTTGTTTAGCTATTAATTTTGTTCGTTTTCCTTTGGGTTCATGCCTTCTTCTATTCTTTGGGTATGTATGCATGCAGGGTATACATATTATACACTCGTATATGTTGTTCATTCTTTGGGTTTGGAGGACTTGTACGGTTGCATGGTGGTAAGTAAATATATCACATCTGGAATCAACTACCCACAAGATCAATGGCTTCCTGACGGCCCTCTATACATCACTCACGCAGCTCTTTTCTCTCATACCACTAGGCCTAATGTATCGGTGCAATGTGTTTTCCAAAATGGGTTTGATTTGCGGCTTAGGCCCCGGCTCACTAACGCTGCTAGCAATCAGCTAGACAGCCTGACTGTTTGTTTGCAGGGGATCAACCTCGGTGACGGCCCAGACACGAGACTGCTCAAGCTAAACAGCAAGCCATACACTGCTCGGGGAGCCTATGCCGCTCTTGACACTGCACGCGACAACACGGACACACATGATCGACGCATCTGGGGGACTCGAGTACCAAACAAAGTGAAGGTGTTTGCCTGGCTGTATTTCAAAGACAGGTTGCGCACAAGAGTCAACCTTCACGCCAAGCATGTTGTTGATGATGATCAGTACGTGCCAGAGGTGTGCTGATTCAGTAGAGGATCGGAATCATGTCTTCTTCGGTTGCTCATGCAACTCTGAACTCTGGAGAGTCATTGGGCTGAGTCATATTTCTCCTCTGTTCGATGATGAAGTCTGGAATGCCAATGCACCCCCCGGCCTCGACGCGTCAATTTGGCCGTTCGTTTTCCTGACGATCCTCTGGAGACTATGGGACGATAGAACTGGTCAAGTTTTCCGGAACAAAACTTCCTGTAGTAGAGCTGTAATCTCGCGGGTTTGTGATGACCTTGTGGTCTGGCGCAAGCACCTTCACCCTGATCTTGTAAACAGCCTCGATGGCTGGCGTAGCTTCCTTCTCGATTGTACTGGTACTGCTTTTGCTCACTCCGGGTAACTGGAGTGTTTGCCTTTGAATGAAGAAGGTGGGGAAACTCTCCCCGTTTTACTTTCAAAAAAAAACTACCCACAAGATCTTGCAAGGGCTATTTTCCCTCTCTATTTCTATGTATCTATCTATCATTTCTATCTCATTGTCATCTTATCATCTTATATAATTACTAGCATGGCTTGAGCATCACCGTTGGTGTAGTAGATGTGTTTGCAAGTGAAGCTAGACTCTAGGGAAGTTCCGCGTGTTATCTATCTTGCTTTCGACCTCGTGTGACAATATAGTTAGTTTTAGACCCTGTCTTTGGTGTAGTTAATTGGATTAGCTTACGCACTTTCTAAGGCTTCCATTAGTAAAGATGAGTACATAACAAAGCCATCCACTTGTTCCTTTTGGATTCGATATAAACATGGGTTGGAATTAATACTTTGAGGGAAAATCTACAACTTCACTGTACACTTGCAGTTCACGAGTTGCATGCTTACATATATAGCACCAACAACGGGCCACGTAACACCACTAATAAGGTAAGTTAAAGTCTAGGGTTGTATCTCACGAAGGTTTGTTTAGTAGTTCTTTAAGCATATAGATACATGCAGATAATGTTAGCCTAAACTTTTCAACAGACTAAACGGTCACCTATCGTTTAGTTATTTATTCGGACTAAATGACCATTTAAACAAACTAAACAGTGATTAAATAGGATAAACGACTAATGAAACGGATATGGCAAGCACTGTGCAATGTTTACAAAACATGTAAATGGGCTAAACGGTCATATAGGTGAACGATACCTTCAGATAGTAAATTTGAATCTCCTTGACAGTATGACATTCTTATGCTCAATTTTAAAATACAAAGAATTAATTATATTTCCTTCTCAAAATTCAATCTTTTGTTTTAATCTTTGAATTTGGGGTTGCCATTTGCCAATCATCGATTGTCACATACATAGCTTTGGACCTGCTTATATCTCAATAAACAAATTAGTCCTTTGAACAATTAGTCACTAATGCACCAAAACCTACTTAAATTGAAAACACATGGAAAACATGCACGATCTATGGTGTTTCATTATAGTTGACAATAGATAACATAAGAATGCCACACTCCTTATTCCGATAGAAATCTCTCGTAGTAAAGCATCACACACACATATAACTTGATAAGGCTTTCTTACTCTGCACGTGCATTATACAACCAAATTTATGCAAGTGACTATGGAAGGCATAAGCTGTGCTAGAGTGTGTCAAATAGCTTGAAGAAATTAAAGGAAACAAAATACCAGCAAAGGCCCAACACAAATCCCACTATGAAACCTAGGCAAAAATCCATTTCAACCCAACCATTTTTATGCTGTATGATGGGACCCCCTTCAATTGGCTGATCTCCAGGGCATTGATTTTGAAGGGGATGTCCACATAGACCTGGATTACCAATATACATGGAAGTTGGATCGTCTATGTTCAGAGTGTCTAGTTCATTTCCAGAGGGTATTTTGCCTGATAAATTATTGTAGGACATGTTCAGAAAGCTCAGCGAAGTCAAATTTGATAAGCACCAAGGAATTTCACCAGAAAATTGGTCGTTTGAGGGATCAAGAGACTCCAATAATTGCAAAGTGCAAATTTGTTTTGGAATATGTCCACTAAAGTGATTCCATGACAGATTCAAATTTGTCATTCCAACAAGAGAGCTTATTTCCTCTGGAATTGGTCCAACTAAATTGTTCCGAGATAAATCTATGCTCATCAAAAAAATTATATTTCTAGTATATTTGAGCTCGTGACCTTTTGTTTCCACTGCGAAACTGTCATTAGCCAGTCCCATTGGTCTGTATCCATGTTCAAGATCATATTCTACTATAAAAGGATTCTGTTGTGGATCTAAAGGCTTACTTGTAGTGAAAGCCCTTAAGTGAGCTAAACAACGTGGTATTGTCCCAGATAAACTGTTATTTGCAAGATCCAAAATATGAAGGGCAGGAAATTGTGTTATCCCAACTGGAATGCAACCAGAAAATGAATTGGAGCTTAATCGAAGAATTACCAAATGTGGCAATTCATCACTTATCCAAGCTGGTAACTTACCACTAAAATTATTGCGGGACAGATCTAGGACAGTAAGGTTTTTCCAAATTCATAGGAACAAGGGAAATTCACCAGAAATGTTGTTGTCACTCAGAAGAAGAGCATGGAGCTACAAATTTGAAGAACTTGCACTGCTAGATTTTGCCGTTGAAGAGTTTATGGTAGATGAGTTCCACCGTTTCAGAGCATTGATGCTACAATCAGGAAGCTTCCTTTCGAGGAGATTTTTTGACAGATTCAGTATTCGCAATTGCTTCCACCGACCAATTGATGCAGGAATAACCCCAGTTAAACGATTGGAGAAGAGATGCACAACCTGTAACCCTAGAGCTTCAAAATTTAATGACAGATGTGTTATGTTGATCTCCACCAAGTCGACCCAACGGCCAACTTGGACCCTGATCCACGCCCTGATCGGGGGCGCCTAACCAAATCATGGTTGGTGGGCCCCCGTCGCACTGCGCTATAAAAAAGAGGTGGGGGCTGGCGGCTCACGGTACGAGGTTCACCAGTTTTGCCAAAGCACCCCACCGACAAACCCTAGCCGATCTAAGGGAGCGCAGCGGTGGCGGGAAGCGTCGCCACCATCCTCCTCGACTCGCCGCCGCCCACGCCGCCACTCTTCGGACCTCACTGCGTCGCCACCGACCCGGGCTGCACCGACACTGTCTCCATGGCGAGCTCCTCCGCCAAGCCCACCGATGGTCAGCTATGTCCACACCCCACACTCTCGCTCTCTCTACTCTAGTTCATGTTCCAGATTGGATCTAGGCTTGTTTATCCCGAATAGAAGTATGCACCTGCTAGATCTACGCCTAGATGATCCTATAGTCCTAACAATGGTATCAGTTGAGCCTGTTCTAGGTGTAGATCTAGGTTTTGGGGTAAAAAAGAAGAAGAAATTAGAAGGAGATGAATCGATTGGTTCGAATCGTGCAGAAATAGTCTAACCCTAACCGCAACCCTAGCAATAGAAGTCAGAGTGGGGGGGACCTACCTGGGCCCTCCTGACCACCGGCGCTACCGCCGTTGAGTGGGAAGGAGGGCACCGCCGTCGTGCGGGCAGAGACCCGATCCGCCGACCGGGGAGGTCATGCCATCACGTGGCCCTCCGCCTCCAGCTCGGGGTCAAAGGCAACATCGCAAGGCCGCTTGATGGCGGCGCGCTCAACCTCAGGCGAGTGCGCTCGCCGACGAGGGGCCCGTGGCGGCGCCACCACCTCATTCCGCGGACGCCTCGGGTGGCCGCCACCGCCTCGGCTACACGCTGAAGAGAGGAGAGGGAAGGAAAGAATGGAGTCTAGGGTTACGGGGGAGGAGGCCGGACTGAGCGCACTCGCCAGCGAGGGTTCCCGCGGCGGTGCCACCACCTCATTCCCCGGTCGCCTCGGGTGGCCGTCGCTGCCTCGGCTGCGCGCTGAAGAGAGGAGAGGTAAGGAAAGAATGGAGTCTAGGGTTATGAGGGAGGAGGCCGGACCTGGTTTTGTTCCTCCGAGGTTGAAGGGTGACCGTCCGATCAGATCCGACGGCTGAGAGCGATCGGGTTGGATGCGGCCCAAGCGGGAAGCCACTTTCCTGGCCTAGGCCCAGGTTGCAGCCTAGGCGCGGGAACGCGGCGCGCATGGCTTGACCACGGGCGGTTTTTGCTGCTGGGCCGCAGGAAAGCGCAGA